AGGCTGCATCTGCAAATAAAGGCCTTTCCTTTAGTCTGACTCTCATCTTTAGGCCTTGGGAAACTTTTCCACGTGGTGGTGCCTCGCGGAGAGCACTGTTCGGAAAAACAAGTGAGCTTTGTTGACATTGCAGGTTTTTTCTTCCCTGGATGTTCAGTGGGAGGCAGAGTGTAATAAATATGAAGGGATGGAAACCACAAATGTGTGGGGGATTTGTGTTGGCATCACAGAGGCTCAGGCAAACAAACAGATGCATGTGGATGTGGGAACATGCTGCTTGTGCTCATGGCGTGGCTGACCACATGTGCCTCACTGGAACGTGGGACCTTCCTGTAGTTCCACAGTAATGACAATGACGCTCAGAGCAGCTGCGAGCAGGCACACACGAACACACTGCACCCATCTGTTCTGGCAGCCAACACTTAACATGCTTGCTGGCTGGTGGCTGGGCTTAGATAACATGTTCATCTGCCTCCCGCCCTAGCAAAGTCACAAAGGAGACCAGTGTACTAAGAATGATTTTTCCCCCCTATGTAAGTGGCTGAAGGCATGGTAAATATGTAAATACTGATAAAAGCCACAGATAATGGTTGAATTGATAAAAGCACGTGGTTTTTGTTTTCCTCTGAGGTGCTGGGGATTAAACATGCCTTGTGCATATTAGTAAGCACTGTTACCATGGACCTGCGTCCCCAGCCCTTTCTAAAAATTTTGCAACAAGGTCTTAAAGTTGGCCTGAAATTTGCATTTCCCTGCCTCAGCCACCTAAGAGCCTGGACTATGCCCTGCATCTACTATATTTGTGACCCTACAACAGCCTTGCATGGTGGGCAAGGCATCAGGGAGGGTAGCATTCTTGCCCTGAGAGAGGAAAGTTTCCAAAAAGGGGAAGGACTGGCCTGATCATATGGCTCACTGTAGGTGTTTTTTTTTTTTTTTTTTTTTTTTTTTTTTTTTTTGAGACAGGGTCTCCCTGAAGCCGGAGCTGGTCTGGAACTCACTATGTAGACCAGGCTGGCCTTGAACTCACAGAGATCTGCCTGCCTCTGCCTCCCAAGTGCTGGGACTAAAGGCATGCACCACCACATGTGGCTTACCCTAGGGTTTTGCATTGCTAAACTGACGCCTTTGGGCTGGCCCACTTTTCCCTCACTTTGTTGGTTCGTTCACCACTTTTTATTTATTTATTTATTTATTTATTTATTTATGTCTTTTTGAGACAGGTCTCCCTGTAGCCCCAGCTGGCCTGGAACTCGCTATGTAGACCAGGTTGGCCTCAAACTCAGAGATCCACCTGCCTCTGCCTCCTGAGTGCTGGGATTAAAGGTGCATGCCGCCAAGCCCAGCCATTCACGACTTCTTACACACCTTTGAACCAGGCACTGGAGATTTCATCCAGGAGACAGAATTCCTGCCTTGTAGGGACTCATAGCTTAATGGAGGAGATGAGCTGGTGAATGAAGGTTATCCCAAACCAGTGATCTCCTGAACAATCTTTGACTTTTTTCTTTTCTTTTCTTTTTTCTTTTTTTAAAAAATTTTATGTGTTGCTGGGTGTGGTGGCGCACGCCTTTAATCCCAGCACTTGGGAGGCAGAGGCAGGCAGATCTTTGTGAGTTTGAAGCCAGCCTGGTCTACAGAGCGGGTTCCAGGGCTGCTGGGGCTACAGGGAGGCCCTGTCTCAAAAAAAAGACCAAAAGAAAAAAAAATTATGTGTTTAAGTATATTGCCTGCATGTAGATAGGTGTACCTGGGTTGTGCCCATGGAGGTTAGAAGAAGGCATCAGATCCCCTGGAACTGGAGTTATGGAAGGTTGTTAACCACCATGTGAGTGCTGGGAATCAAACCCAGGTCCTCTGCAAGAGCAATCAGTACTCTTAGCCACTGAGCCATCTCTCTAGCCCCGTATGTTTTTTAGCTGACATGTTTTAATTTTTTGGTGCTATTTGAAAATAGCATCTGCCTGGGGCTGGAGAGTTGGCTCAGTGGTTAAATGTACTGGCTGTTCTTGCAGATGACCTGGGTTTGAATCCCAGCTCTCACCTTCGGTAACTCCAGTTCCGGGAGAATCCAACACCCTCTTCTGTCCTCAGAGAGCACTGCATGACTTGGGTGCACTAAAACACATGCCTGCAATGCACTCAGACACATTAAAAAAAAAAAAAACAAATAAATAAACGAAAAATTTAAAAGAAAATCGCATCTGCCGCAGCCCTGGGCTGTCTCCTTGTGGTGAAATAGAAGATCCAGCCGCACTGTTCTCATGTTCCCTATGGAACTGTTGAGCTGGACAAAGCTGACCCTGTGGCTCCTTTGTGATGGCTACTGTTTGCCAGTTGGCCAGGGTCTGTCCTTGCTGCTCTTCCCTGCCTGGCCCTGATTGGATTTGAGCTCCCCTGGGTACCAGCCGTGATGAAGCCAAACACTGCACTCTGGAAGAAGCTTGGCCGTGGCCAGCTAGGAAGGAATGGGCAGGGAGAACTCCTTGGGAAGGTGCTTGGACAGTGAGCACTCAAAGAACAAACAAGCAAATGGTGGCTGTGTCTAATCCGCATCATGTGTGCAGCATGGCCCTGGCCTCGCTCCTCAAATCATACCTCTTGCAGGGAAGGGACTTTTCCCAGGGGTTTTTCTGCATTCCCTGTTTCAGTCCTAGATCTCAGTAGCTTCTTGTGCTCAGAAAAACGAGAAGCAAAAGGTAGATTTTAAAAGAAAAAGGTAGATTTATCTAATATTATTCTTAAGTCTAGAAAACTCAGAGCTTCCAAGTCATTTTTGGTGGTTTTGTGTGATCACCTTCATCCTGTCTACAAACAGACCGTTCACAGGTGTTTTGTGCATTTTATTTTTTCTGTTAAAACCAAGTACTGCTCTTGCAAGTCCCCTCTACCTAGAACTTGGATCAGTGGCCTTATTTCACGATTTCGCTTTCTTTTTACCCATTAGAAATAATTTTTGCCTTTCAGCTTTCCAAGGCCTGCCAGTGTGTCAAGCCAGCAGGAACTGCTAAAGCACACTTTGTGATGCCAAACCCAGGCTTGCCATGGAGGGTTTGGGATCGTGATGGCACTGTGGTGTTAAGCTGTCTTGCCCTGAGATGCTAAAAGGAATGGAGTGGGGAACGTTTGGAGGTCCTCAGGTGTTCCAGGAGATGGGCATCGACCCCCCACCTCCCATGTAACTGTTCAAGGAGAGCTGAGAGTCATGTGGGAGCTAATGCCTCGGATCCCAGGCAACTTTTTGCTCAATAACTGTTTCCCAAATGGCTACTCAGGGGCCTTTCAGAATTCATGAGAGCTGTCAGTTGTTATAGTAACCGGCCCCCTGCTGTCGAGTTGGCCCTGAGATGCCAGTCGAAGCTCTTGGAACAGGCTAACACACAGTCATTAGACAAAAGCAGGGAGGGATGCACAGCTAAAGGTTGCCATTTAAGCAAACTCCTTGAGACTTCAAAGACAGCGTTGACTCTGTGGGCAAGTGGTGGATGGATACAGTTTTAAACAGCTCACTTTCTGGAAAGGGAAACTCTTTACTTGTTTGTTCTATTCTAGGTAACAATACAACAGTACAACAATTCAAGTGTCTCAGAATTCGCTGTCTTCCCTTCCAGGGCTGCTTATGCTGTGGGTTCGCTCAGGTTACCCCTTGGTGGTTGGGGATATTAGTTATTGAGTTATGGCATTTGCTTCTCAGTAAAGTGTTGTCAGTTTACGGGTGGGAGTTTCAAGCGCCTGTGATTGTGTGTGAGGAAAAACTGCGGAGATAGCCGGCTTCGCTCCAAAATTCCCGAAAGAGTGAATCTGGCAGGATTCAGAGCAGGGCTAAGGGTTGAGAAAAAGTCTAAATATTTTAGGAAGCTGCAAATTTCAAGTTTTTATGAAAATTTATAAAAACATTCCAACACACTCGTGGTTTCTGAAGATTAATGTTCGTAGCCACACGGCATGTTCATGATGTTTGGAGGACAGTTGCAGTTCCAGAATATTCTCAACAGAGGGAGACAGGAAGTTCTGAGTTACAGCAGTCCCTCCCCCACCTTTCACTCTTATTCCCAAGTTTTGCTTTCTCTAAATTTTGGCTCCCACGACAAGCACTTTTATCTAATACTCAGTCTAGTAATTACCAAAGGAAATGAAAGCTTAAAAGGAGAAGAAAAGCTTTAACACTCAGAAACTAGAGTTATTCATTCTTAGAGGGGAAAGACTGGTAAGAAGTAAGACGTATGAAGAGCTGGACTGTGCCCTGGACTTCATTTCTGTGTGAGATTCGTCAGAGTTCCCAAGGAAGAGAGCGGCCATATGTTAGAGTTTGTCTTTGCTGTTCTGTGAGCAGAATTTGTCAGATCCAAAGCCCAGGTGATTTGGGGAAATCAAGTACAATTAGGCACTTTCAAATGTTTACATGTGACAGAAAATATATCCTTCAAAGTCTATAACCAGGTCTCAGATACTATGGTATTTAAAGTTAAAGTCTTCATGTACAAGAAGAACTTGCCAAGTACCGGCCTTGTTGCTCTGAGGTGCCTTCTCTATATAAAGGGTGTGTCTAGAAGTGACATAAATGTATGGGGAGAAGACAGAACCCCAAATCCAATTCAGAGAATCAGGCAAGCCCTGTGATAGACACTGGGTGATAGAGACCCAAGTTCTAATAATCCCCATGGTATTTCGAGCCATCTGTTTGCCAGGACAGTGTGTCTGAGGTGGGAGAGCAGATGTATCAGGATGAGTTCGTGATTGTGACGCCCTCACCTCCAGTCAACACTAAGAGCAAAGCCACCTTCCAATGCATAAACATGACTTTGGAGAGCAAAGGTCCCACTCAGAGACCTGCCCTGTACTGGCCATTCTGTGCATGAGTGTCCCCTCTTGAAAATGCCTCAAATGAGACCTGGTGACAGGGATGTGACTGGGAAGGAGGGTGTTGGTGTGGAACTCTGGGTGGCCAGTTGAAGATACTATCTGCTATACCTGTTCTCTTTTGTTTTTTGTCCATTTAGAGGGTGTAACAAAATAAAGTCCAAGGGCTTTACCAGACGTTTCCATGAAGTGCCTTCTTCTGGGGAGAGAGGAAAGAAGGGGAGCAGGTGAGGGCGGCCCAGCTTAATGGGGTCCCGATGACCGGACTGGCTTGCCAAATTTTTGTTTTGTTGCCATGGGGATTAAAGTCTTCTAGACAGAACATGCTGGTTCTCCTCTGTTCTATCCCACCCAGTAAGATTTGTAAATACCAGTTCAGCCTTCAGGTAGAGCTGATGGTCATTACAGTCTGTCCCGTGTGCTTGCTTTGCTTTGTTTTGCGGGCTGGGGAGGAGTTTTCTGTTCCTGGATTGGTACATACCGGGGCTACTCTATGCTGTGCATCTGTATGTATGTTGCATCCATTTTCTTTCAGATATTTCAGATGTTGCATGTTTTAGAGCTTTGCTTTTTTAAAAAAGCATAATGCATGCATTTATCCTTATAAGTGAAAAATATCTTTAAGAAATCCAAATTTATAAATAAGGGGTTAAAACTACAAAGGGGAGAGAGAATGAGCAAATGTGGATCTACTGTGCTTTTCCATAAAAAAGACTAATTTTTAGAAAGTAAATATGCACAAATTCTAGATAGCTTTAGTACTTTGAAGAAGTATTAACCTCAAGAGTTTCTTGAGAACCAGAAGTTATCATTAGCAAGATTGAACTACCATACTTGAACCTCTTGATTGCAGAAGACTCATCTTAGGTAAACACTGTTTGATATTACTATAATCTTTTAATATTAACTTATTGGCAAGTAAGCTGATTCATCAATTTAGGTCATAGGCAGGTTTATAAAAGTTACACCTGAACCTTTACGTGGAGTGATTCCTCTCCGTTGGTTGTAGTAAGTCAGGTCATTGAGATGGAATTTCAGTTATACCTGAGAGGCCTGCTGCTTTGAGCTGTGCAGCGCTACTTTGGCTCTGCAAAAGCAATTTGGGTCGATAATACTGGTGATGGTGTTCCTTGTCCTCTATGATCTTTTTCTAATCTGTTGAATTTTCCAGTTTCGAATACATTTTCAAATCTCCACAAGGAAAAACAGGACTAGAAACCTCTCTGTATCGCTTTGGATTCAAAGATTTTTTATCTTAGGAGAGGGGATCATGGACATCAAATGAACAACCTTCTGTATGCAACCCATTATGTTTTATACTGTGCTACTTTGAGGAACCAGTGTCACTTCAAGCACAACACAAATTTCCAGCTCCTGGGGCTCCCCAGACAGTGCTGTAGCCCATTTATATACATGGGCTCTAGTGTGGGAATGGACACCACACCGCACCTTACACAGGGGATGCCTTATGACCTCATGTTGTAACAAGATACTCTGGTCTCCTGTAATTCACACAGAGGGAAGTCTATTTCTAGAAACCATCTCGAGTAACTAGAGAATGCCTGTAGAATCTACCTGATTGTGAATCATGTAGTGTAGTGTACATTTTTTTATAGAGTAGTGGCTAAAAAGTAGACTTTGATTCAGAGACATGTGGATTGTAACAGCTCTACCATTTCCTGGCTCTATGACCTAAATTGGCTCAATTTCCTCATCCAGAAAAATAGCTCTATTGAAAGCTCTTGTCCATAGGATTGCTGTGAAGATTAAATAAGGTAGCACATGTGGAATGCTTAGTTAACCCCTGAGAAGACAGGAGGCTGTGACTCTGAGAAGGTAAGTGAGTTGGTCAGGCAACCCTGCTGAAGTGGCTGAGCTGGAACCTCCACCCAAGCCAGCTGGATCCTGGACAGTCCCTTCTCTCCTGCTCTGTGCTGTGCTTAGTACTCCAGGAAGAGGAGCTGGGCCGGATAGAGACCCTGTCCTCAAGCAATTAGGGTTCCTGCTCTTATGTACCCTGCTGCACTAGTCTTTCAAAGCCTATGTTTACCCACCGTTGGTATTTAATCCATTCTTGCAGCAACTGCTATAAATTGAAACAAATGGGGATATTGCTCTATCCCCTTTTACACAGTACAGTACCCCACAAATTACCCATGTGTTTTGCTTTTTCTCAGTGAGCATAATTTTTCTCTATGCATCTATAGTTTCCCTGCTCTTTTTGTGGTTTTAAAACATATAGCTATGTCACGATTTATTTAGGCAGTCCTCTGTGACTGTCAGTTTTGTGAATGTACAATACTGTGTTGAATAACTCCATTTATGTGTCATTTTGAAAGTGGGTAAATACAGCCTCAGGAACTAGCTGGTACCCCAGCATACATGTGTGGTGATGTTTGGTGGATGGTGCCACACGGTGCTCTACCTCAGATCCTGAGGTGGGTTTCTGTTGGCAGCATCTGAACACACCTGTCTTGTTGCGCCCTCCTTCCTGCTGGGCTGGCCATTTGATTGACTTCTTGGTGACATAGAAACAGTGTCAGTGTACTTTCAATGTGTTGCCATTTTGTTATAAACAATAAGTGAACCATTTGTTTTTCTTCTTCTCTAAACTATTTCTTTTGCCCATTTTTCCTTTGGCGTTGATTCATATCTAATCAGGAGAGGTGTACCCTGTCAGCCATGTGGACTGCATATTTTTCCCAACTTGTAGTTTGCTTGTTAATTCCTAATGTTCTTTCTTTGTCATCTGTATAATCCAGCTTCTTTGGATTTCTTGTTTGTTTTCTAGGTTTAAGTTTAGAAAATCCATTCTGAGAGACTTTTTAAAAAGTTCTTGTTTGGGTTTTATATTTAATAGTGAATCCCCAAATTGTTGGAGATGTAACCTGGTAGATAAAGGGGTGTCTAAACCAACTCTTTTTTTTTTTTTACTAGGTAGTCCCAAGTTTCACAAGTACTGCTACATGGAGCTGCTTAGTGAAGAGGCACATGACACCTTGCTAGATATTTAAAATAACATTCTTACAGCAAAATACAGTCATTGTGTTAAAGAAATAAGGAGTTACCAGACCATTTTAGATCATGAGCACTAAATTATGATATACCGTGGTTTTTTTTCCTACCCATCTCCTTAAAATAAACTAGACCTTCATATTACCAACAACCACCTCAAGACAGTGAGTGTGGGTCAGAGTCCTCAGAAGTGATGAGAGTGTAGAGGAAACTGGACAGTGGTGAGTTGCCTGTAGCCTTACGTCAGATATAAGCACATTCCAGGCCTGGATGCAAAGGTGAGAGCTGTCTCAAAGGCCCTGATGTCAAAACTTTTCCAGGTCCCACTTGAGCATCTGGGGATGAACTGAAGGTTCATTTCCTTGGAGACAGCTGAAATACTAAAAGTGGTATTCTCAGGTTGCTGTTCTTGTCAGAATATGGTCTAGGAAGTGATGTCTGCTGTCCTAGCTCTCAAAAAGCACCACTGGCACTGCTGTTATCCCAGGGATCTGGGAGGACAAAAATGATTTTACAAGAGTGTATGATCCTGAGATCACTTTTGTATCTGCAGTTTGTTAGCTTTCTCCCACCTCTTAAAAGTAGTAACTGCTGGCAATCTGAACCCTCCGTTTCTCACTGCAGAAATTATACATTTTGTCACCTTCACCTATAGCAGGAATGAGCTGTCTACCCATCTGTCCTACCCATGTGAAATCCAAAATATCTGAAATACTTTCTGTTCATTTCATATCTGCATCCCCTTTCTCACTCAACCACCCACCCATCCATCTACCCATCCATTCATTCATCTGTCCGTCTATTCATCCATCCCCCCATCTGTCTGTCCATCCATCCACCCATCCACCCATCCATCCATTCATCCATCCGTCCATCATCCTTCCATCTGTCTGTCTATCCATCCATTCACCCACGCATCTATCCACCCACCCATCCATCCACCCACCCATCTATCCATCCACCCACCCACCTACTCAACCATCTATCCATCCATCCACCCGCCCATCCATCCACACATCTATCCACCCATCCATCCACCTATCCATCCACTCATCCATCCACCTATCCATCCATCCACCCACCCACCCATCTACCCATCTACTCACCCATCCATCCCTCCATCCCTCCATTCCTCCATCTTTCATGTGATTTTTGTTCTCTTTTCTCCCCCTTTCCCTCCTCTCTTCTACCTCAGGAGCTCCACCTGTCCAGGGTGTGACAACCATATGCCCAGAATTTCCAGGACAGTCCTGATGGGACACATGCCATTTGATTATCCGCCCCCCCCCAGCACATTCAGTTTTGTCACATCTCATGTCCGCTTTCATGGCTTGGAAAATATGCCAACCAGAAGCATATTTTGGTTTCTGAATTTTTCTTGCTGGAAGAGCCCTTCCAGAGACTTCACTAGCAGTGTAAACTTAGTTGCATAAACTGAATCACTTAACAGGCAGTACAGAAAACTTAACAGCAAGTGAGCTGTTATGTATGAAAAATCTCAACTTAGAACTGAGTTGGGCTCCCTTCCAAGTGGGACCCAGGGGTAGCTTCAGGCGCACAACTCCTGAGGAGCAGCCCAGTATTGCGCACATCTCCCATCTATTGTTGTCACTTCCGTTTCTCGAAACGTTTTGCCCTAACAAATCAATCTGTCTTTTCCACACAGCTCTCCATCCCGTTCCTTGAAGGCCCATTAACATTTGCAGCTTTCTATTTATAGAAAGCTCTTACTCATACAAAGTTCACTACAACAGATCCATTTATAAAAGTAAATATTAATGGGATTTCTGTTCTTGACAACATGAGAATAAATGGGATGATTAGCGGCATGCCACTGTAAATTCAAACGAGGGCAGTCGATGAGTCCGTTAAGATTGCTTAATTAATATGCAGCCAACTGCCCGCTATAGTCTGCAATTAGAATTTTGCCTGCACACTGCTAACAGACTCCTTCGCACTCTGATGTGATTATAAAACCATTGAGCTTAATTTGAAGATAATAACTTGATTTCTAGTCTCTGTATATCAACATTTGGTTAGTTTATATTCTGAGTTTTCATACAAGTCTGAAAACCTTATTAGAATTCCCCTCCCAGCCAGCCCATGGCCCAGCATCTACAGCACTGGGGAGTGTTGCCATAAGCCAAAGACTCCTGTGGAAGCAGACTTCTCATAAAGGATGGACATGCTGACCTAAATGCCTGTAGATCTC